ATAAAGCAGAAATGAAATAAATCGAAAATTTCATTTTTTAAAAAAATCGGGCGTTACTTTTTGCGGCGACTGTACTTGTGCATGCTGTATATAGTAATGATTATAACATACGTAACAATAAACGAAAGTATAGTCCATAGAATATCAGTATGTTATGGAGTATGGAACAGGAAAAAGCTTAACATGAACTACCAGTATAATGATAACACATACTACTGGTAGGACATAACGATAAACTACGTATACTGTCTTGACTTTATACTGTACTATGCTACATAAATCTTCTAAAATAACCTATATTCCGAACCCAACCCATACCCTAACAGTACATGTAGTTCCTCTATACAATCTACGTATTACTGTACCATCCCCAGTGATGCATACCATACTGATCTGGTTATCCATACCACGAAAAGTACGTACATATACTGTTCTATGCTACATGTCGATGTAAAATAATCTATCGCTATATTCCGAACCCTAACCATTACGTATACACGTGATTCATACAATACTAATATTTACTATGTTCAGCGCTAGGACTACGTACGTATAGCATAACGATAGACTGTCTCGTTTGTTAAAGTATCGCCGATTTAAAATTACGTACATGTACATGTACATGTAAATGTAAATAATAAATACATATAAAAAACCTGGTTGATTTTATAACTTGAAATTTTCAATCAATTAGCTTTAAAATGATGTTATCGTTATATAAATACAGTCAACTCTCATTACAGTAATGTGATCGGGGGCAAAGATTTGGTGATGTTATAACAAAATGTTAGTTTATCGAAAGAAGAATGTATAATAAAACTTATTAAAATAATGAGATCGGAGAAAGAAATTTGATGTTGTTCTAACAAAATGTTATTATAAAGGATGTTACTGTAACGAGCTCCCACTGTATTATCTACATGTATTTTCAACCGGCGATACTTTTTGGGGTACTATACATGTACATGTATTTAGATACATGCATAACTACCCTAACCATTTTCCAATACAGTACGTACACGAAATAGCGAAATACGTAGTACAGTTACATGTAGTTTCCTCTTATACATGTACATTTTACACGTGATATACCATACTGATGATATTCTCATTATCCTAAAGTACGTTCGTATAGCGATAGTAACCGGTTATCCATGCCATACTGGTTAATATAAAAATAATACATGTAATTATATTCGAAGCCAATAAATTATCTTTTCTTTATTATACATTTTAAATCTTTTCAACATGGACTCGGAAGTTCCTAGTGAGGTTACTACTCCATCCAACAGCCATTCACACACCAACACTATTGGTGAAATGCTGCCGTTTGCAGCAGCAGCTTGTCAAGTAGCAAATAAAATTGTAGAAATGGTAGAGGCAGCTCAACGTTATAAAGAAGTCTGTAAAGACTTATCGAAAAGAATTGAAAAAGCGACGACAAGAATAAGAGAAAATCCACCAACAAAAGATGCGAGTCTTATGATCCAGGTTTCATATCAGCACTATAAACAGATTTTAGACGAAATTGCACAGTATATTAGAGATCTAATTAAGCCAGGGACTTTTAGTCGGAAAAGTTTAATAAGAATTAAAGCTTTAGTAAAATCGAATGATGTAAGTTTAATAGCATATATATATATATGAATATTGCGTGTATAAATAATTTATCTAATTTACAATTAATCAATTTACAGATGTTAGATTACCATGGCGATTTGATTGAACGATTAGATATAGCAATTCAGGATTTACAGTTAGATACATGTACAAACAAACAAGTTAACGAAATAAAGAATAAAGTGGACCAAAATCTTTATATTTCGCGTAAACCGAGTTCTGACATAAAAGATACAGCGGCGACATTTGATACTTTCAGCGAAAAAATCAATCTAAATTTTGCTCAAATAGCTTTGTTAACAAAAGACGCTGATTTCAAAGAGGAAAGTATATATGTTGACCCGTTAAGTGTTGAAGAAGATGATGATACGGAAATCAGAGGGAAAATTAAAAAAATGTTGTTCAACGGGAGCGACGCGGTAGCTGTGCGTAAAGTGCAGACCAGTGATATAGCTGAAGCTACGCGACGAGCAATGATTTTAAATAAACTGGGAACCTGTAAATATATAGAGAGCTTGTAAGTGCACGTGTTATATTATTTCAAACAAACAATCTCAATATAACATTGTTCATTTATTAGTAAAGGTTTGATGAAAAAAAGTGAAGAATCATATGTGGTACATGTGGTGACTGAATGGGCCGCGAACTACGATCTCGAAAAGTATCTGCATTCAGACGTAAATATTTCATGGATACAAAAATTAAAATTCGCAGAAGGTATCGCAAATGCTCTCACATATTGCCATAAAGCTGACATTTTTCATCGTAATGTTAAAAGGTAATTAATTTGAAAGATTATTTATTATAAATCAATCAACTTAATGTAATAATTATTTTAACTTTATTGACATTTCTATCTTATTCAAATGTAGTGCGAATGTATTATTAGACGAAGATTTAACTGTGAAACTTAGCAATTTTGATATAGCATACTTCCCTAGCGAAGCAACGACATCATATAAATCGGATAATATTAGGTAAAGTATAATTTCAATGACACCTTGATTTAATTTTTAAAAGCAGTAAATTGATCCAAAAAAATCAAAATAGATGGACTGCGCCCGAAAAATTAAAGACGACCTATATTCCTTATTCCAAAGAAATGGATGTATATAGGTAAGAACATACTATTCATTTTTATCATATTTATTATTACTGTTCAAAGCTTAACAAGTTTCTATCTAAAATTTTGCGATAGTAATGTGGGAAATTGCAGTAAGAAAAGTGCCATTTTACCAAATCACTAATAACATGGAAGTTTCCGAGAAGATTAAAAAAGGCGACCGTCCATCACCAGTCCCGAACGATCTTATACCAGAATACCAAAGAATAATGGAACTGGGTTGGGCTCAAAATTTATGTCATCGTCCCAGCATGCATGCGATAACTCATGAATTGCAATTGCTTTGTAAGAACGAAGGCGCATTATCATTTAATATATTGTCAATTTCAGAAAAACGTATGTTATTATTAAATTTCACTTTGAGATTTATGCTCTTGACTTGAATATTGGATAAATTTTGGTTATACTGATGATAATGATTATTCTTTATTTAGCTGACTTTGACTTTAAAACTGAGTATGAAAAAATCAAGGAAATCAAGTCTGATCAATCACATACTCTGCCACCGTGGAAAGATGTCACTACGGCTATTACTAAGAAGAACTACGAAGAGGCGATAGAAGGATTAAAGCTATACGCTAAAAGTGACGCTAAAGAGGCATATTTAGCCAGATATCATGCTGGCGAACTGCTATACGAAGGTCATGATGGTGTGCCCCAAGATGAATTCCAGGCTATGGTTTACTTACGTGAAGCAGCAGACCATTTACCAGCGAGTAGTTTTACTCCCCTGGCTCAATATTTATATGCGGATATATGTCTAAGGGGTACACTATATGATTGGATAAATGGTATGATGTATTTGAAGATGGCCGTACGAGTATCCGAGAAGAACGCTTTATTTTTGTATGGTAATATTCTGTGGAACGGTGAACATGGGGAGCAGATTAATCATGCAAAGGCTGAAGAAATGTTTAAATTATCATGGAGTCTTGGCAATGAAAGAGCGGGTGAGATGTTAAAAAGAATTGAGGCTGCGAAAATTCAAGCTGCGGAAAAATCCACTGCACAAAATTAGATATCTTAAGCGGTGACTAGTTTCATTAGATAAACGAATCATACTTTTTCGTAGAGTTCTTTCAATTACAATAATTAAACAAAATGTTATAGTTCTTGAATCAAAAATCGACCTGATAAAAAACAACTTAATCTTTTGAGTTTATCATTATTATGTAATTATGTTATTTATTATTTTGATATATTTATTAGCATTAGCATTACGTACATGTACGTTATTATGTAAGATGTTATAAATATCGATATGTTATGAATGTTCAAATGCAGAAATTACATGCAGTTAAATCCTGTATAATCACATCATATAAAAACCCTGTTATAATCACTCTTTTCAAAAACCAACTACATGTATAATAAAACCAACTCTTTATATTTACATTCATAATGATAATAAAACCCCTCCCTCACTATAATCACATTAATGAAAAAATTACTATTGGACCAAATGGGGGGAAGGCTGTTAAGCTCAGTTCGGGTCGGGGTTGATCCGAAAATCGTAAAACAGTTTTTCGTTAATAACTTAATTTTTACTAAGACACTTGTATTTTGTGTCTTAAATAGAGTTGTTTAGAATGTACGTAATTGTGTATATCTACAAATTTTCGTCCAATTTGAATTGATATTGAACGAGAAATAACGATTTTAGTCTGCTCGAAATATTTCGAGTTTGACACCAACCCGAAGTGTACGGTTCGGGTTGGGTCACGGATATGACCCGACCCGATTGGAGCACTAGGGACTGTATTTAAATTCTTAAAGTGTGATACATATTTCAGCAATAGAAAATTGCATAAAATTTAAAGAAACCAGTAATATTGCAAATAGTCCCACTATTGCTATACAGTCAAACTCAAACTTTATCTTCTAAATATAATAAAATAATTATTTTAAAATATAATAACTTGATATTTAATAAGCAGATTTAAGTAAAAATACTATTATTTGATTTATTTAATTGAAATGAATTAATTAGTAATATTTGTATTCAAATTTGATTATTAAGTATCAAAATATTATATTTTGAAGAGACCATTTCAATTCTTGGTAATTAATTTTTCATTCACCAAAAAAATAAATAATTCTTTAGAATATAATTAATATTTTGATATCTAATAATCAAATTATTACTATTTGATTTATCTAGACTAAATCAAAATATTATATTTTAAAGTAAATGTTTAATTTTCATTAAGATCAAAAAAAATAAATTTAATATAATATCTTAATATTTAGTAATCGAATTTTAACAAAAATATTACTATTTGATTTGTTTTAATTAAACAAATCAAATAGTATTATTTTTGTTTGAAATATCAAAAATTAGATTATTAGATATTGAAATATGTATTTTAAAATAAAAAATTTTATTTGTAATACAAATTTTGGTAAATACAAAATATTTGATATAAAAATTTTATTAACATAAAAAATATAAATAATTAGCACTTGTCTTTTTGTTTTTATAAATTTTAGAATATTATACATGATTTAAAAATATTAGAGATAGTTAGATACTTATAATTACTATTATATATAATTAATTAATTAAAATTAAGATCTTGTTTTTTCTTATAATAATTTCTTTATTTTAATAAATATATAATTATTTTATTTGTGTTTTGATTTTTATATTTTATAATATAAAAATATATTAAATATTATTATATATTTTATAATATATAATATATAATATTATTATTTATTATAATTTTTTTAGTGTAATTTAATTAAGTTATAAATATTTATAATAATTATTAACTTAAAAATATTTAAATAAATTATTAATGCTTAATAAAGAAATAAATTAATATATTAAAATTCTGGCAGATTACTTTATTATTTATTTATTTTTAGATTAATATTTTATTATATAAAATTAATAATTATAATTAATAAGAAATACTATTTATTTTAAATAAATACAAGATATGTCAAAATAGTAATAATAATATTCTATATTAATTTGTTGGTTTAAATTTGAATTATAACTTTATTTTTAAGTACTTATTAAAAATTAGAGTTAATTAAAATATTTTTATTTTTTATATTTATATTTATTAAATTTATTATAAATACTCTAATATTTATTATAATTTAAAATTTAATTTCAATATTTCTGATTGTAAAGTTGATTACACAAACTTTTTATAAATAAATTTTATTAAGTTTGTAATTAAATTTAATTATAAGCAGTTTGTATAACTTTACAATCAGAAATATTCTTGAAATTAAATTTAAAAAATTTATGTTAAAATACAGATTCTTTTTTAACTTCATTTTGATATGAAAACAAATATTTACTAATAAAATAAAAATTTATTATAGGGAAGTTTTCAATTTTTACTATGTTTATGCTTTTTTTGGATTTTCGATAATTTATTGTAGGATGTGTATGTATATAAAAAAAATGGTTGAATTAATTTGCTAATTGTCATTTCAACATTTAAAGCTTGTATCACATTAGTTAACGCACCGAGTTGGCTAAAAACTTGCATGTATATAGGATTTGTCTTGAAAGAAAATATTTGATATCAAAAATTCTACTAATTAAAAAAATCGTGTGGATCTCTCAATTTCCCAGCTAGTCGATGTAAAAAATTCTGACTTAGTCATGCCGGTATTTTGTTATCAGCTTGGATCATTAAAAGCAAGATAATATCACGTGATAATATAACGAATTCGATCTATTTGATTGCAAGAGCACAAAGTTCAAAGCAAGCTAAAAACTGTCAATAACTTGAAATTTTACTGTTAATTAACTTTTGATCTCTAAGTAAAATGCTTAGCGTAAAAAATTAGATGTATCTAATATTATAATGTCAATACAACTTCACATTTTTCTTTTTCTTCATGTACTCACTTGTATTTCTTTATAAATTGCTTCAAAATCTCCTCTTGCAAAATATTTCACATTGGAAATCTTTCAAAGGGGATCCATTCAAAAATATATTAATCTTTCACACTTTCGATAAAACATTCAGTTTATAAAATAATCGAAACACACATTACAGTACTTAATTTCTTGAAAGAACAAGTAATTTACTACAATCATGAGTCTTATGAAAATTGAAGCATTCCCGTCGAAAGTAATGGCGGCCATTTTTTTTATATTTCATTTAATTATAAAATTAAAAAAATTTTATTTTGAAGTGCCTCCGAGTAGGGCGTTATCCCTACAATATCAATACTTGGTTTCCGTGTTAACACAAGTTTGAAATAATTTAATGTTCTAAAAATTTGTGACTTAAACGTTATAACTAAAAAAAATGGTAATAATTCTATAAATAATATTCTGATTAAAATGAAAATACTACCAAATAGTCGTCCTATTGAGGCGAATATATTATGACCGAATCACAAAAATCTGTTATCGAGAAAATAAGTTTTGAAAATTAAAACCTGCAATCGGGAAAATGACTTGCCGCGATGTATTATTAGATTTTCGCAAATTCATCGTTTTTTAATTATTATTATCTTTCTAGAAATGTCAGTATTATAGTAAAATTTATATAAAAATCTCATTGCCATTACTTTCGCTGGGGAATGTGCAATTGTGAGTATTCGAAATTTTTGATTTCATCTTTTATAAAATGTTTTTAGTAATTGTATGTTTTATACATGTATTACAATATACATAATTTTTGTATTTGCAATAAGATTAATGTTTTGCTGAAATGCAAAATATTTATATTCACACGAATACAGGGTAAGCATAAAATTCATTATTTTTCAATGACTTTAGGACTATTGAACTTCGAATAAAATACATATCACCCTACCCTATAATAAAATTGTTTAAGCCGCCCACGTATTGTACGGTATTTATTAATGGCAAATAATTGCAATAGTCTGAGCACAGTCAGATCCCGTTGTCATCAACTCTGATAATATCAACACCTCACGCTGTTAGTAACATTAGTCGCAGAGCAGATTTTAAATGATAATAAATTATACAGTAATACGACACCTGATCGCTTGCACACTTATAGATTGGTAGAGCTTCTAAATTTCGTGTCCCAAATACAATCAGTCATTTCGTAACATACATTTCAATATCCAAGAATCTAATTCTTAATATCAAGTGATCCGATTCGAACAAAAATACTATTATTCGATTTGTCTCGACTAGACGAATCGAATGGTAGTATTTTTGTTCGAATCGGATCACTGGATGTCAAAATATTGGGTCTTAAAATAACCAATTGACATCAACAAAAATTGATCAGCCACTTTAGGATGTAATATATCAACGTCCAGTGATCCAATTCAAACAAAAATAATACCATTAGATTCGCTTGACTAGACGAATCGGATCACTGGAGGCCGAGATATTTCATTCTGAATTGACCGATTCATTTTTTTGGTGATCAATTTCTAATGAAAAATTGATCGACAAATATGAATCTGTCACTTTAATATGCCGGGCGTTCGGATACCAACTCTAAACCCCCGTAGTTATCCACCCTCGTATATATCAGCAAAATAGCCCGGTCCCATGATGCCGATAACAACGAGGAACGACATTATGTATAATAAAGTAATACTCTAGTGTAATATATTGTATACATGAGTAGAAAGTATCAAGAAAAGTGCAGTTGGTAAAAAAATCACTCAATTCGAGCATAATCGCTAACATTCATAATATTCTCAATATTGACTTTCTTTCCAAATTAACATTTTTTGGTCCAAAAATTCCAAACCTAATCTTAACTTTATGATACACATTAATATTATATGATGTCTTTCAGTAGTCCAATTAACTTCACCCTCTAACGCATCAATTTTCAAAGCATATGACCATTCATTACGAGCATCCCAAATTTCTGGAAACTGGTTTCCTAATATCCTTCTTTCCTGCACATATCCTTGCTAAACTTTGTACTTCCCGAAGCCCTAAACAAACGATACTCTTTCAATCTAAAAAATACTTCTTTTACTTTTAAATCCAGTTTTAAGAATTTAAGAGCCAATTTCACGATAATAGGATTCCCAGGTCCATATGTATGATAATTCATTGAGATATCGTAACCTAATCCACGTTTCCAAGCTTTTGGATCATCCCATTCGGTCCACCGAACAGGTGCCGGCATTGGCATCGGACTATATCGTGTAATCAGACACATGTATGTAACCGACATCTTTGAACCTTGGAATTTCCACAAATTACGTTTCCTTTCAATTTTAATGTTTAAATTATAGTATATGCGTCCAATCTCCAAATTCATTGACAGTGGCAAATCATCAGGTAACAGGAGCTGGAATGGAAGATTCATACTCGTAATCTTTTCGTACAATTTTATTTTCGACGTTGCATTATTACTTTCCCAAAGCAATAACGATCGATTCAGAATTTCTTGTCCGTAAAGATAATGGACCGTCCCATGATAATTACGGTTGGATATGTTTTGGTGTTGGCATCGTATATACTACGAGTTTTAAGATCTTATTATGTCCAATGGACACTTCAATTAGCTTAGCTTTCAGAGGTTCCACTTCAGGAAATTGGATGTACAGACGTCCGGCTATGTGTAGTTGGTGAGGCCTAACAATCCATGCTGGAATTTATTTGGCGTTTTGTGTACAAGTGAACCATACTTTTTGCTAGCTTTGATGTATGATGATTTTGGAGAGTGAAAGTCAAACAAAAATTTTAATTTTAGAATTGAAGAAATATATATATTTCGATATATTAACGAAGTAGATGCTCGAGCATACAATGCTTATTAACGTAGATCGAATTTGTTCAACATACGTACATGTGTCGTATATCGATATGCACACTTAATTTTTAAGGACTAAAATCTTGAATTTCGAGAATTTGTGACAAACATTGCATTTTAGATCTGAAATATTTTCCGAATTATATAAGGGATCTAATCTTTAATTTTTCCACACGAAAATTTCCGTTACTACGGTAACCACAAGTTACAAGATCCTGCAACAGACACCGGTTTATATACGATCATCATTCGATGAGATGAATCCTATACGAATTAAGGTACATAAACTCTATTGAAAACAGAGTTATTGTTGCTATATCGATATATATAGTGTTCAGAAAATGCTAATACATGTACATGTACAATGATACAAGATCAGCTGGTTCTACATGTATTAAATGCATGGATACATGCACATGTGTGATATCGATAGGTATTGCTATAATACATGTAGACACAGATAGCGATAGATACGTATTACATAATATGACCCACTACGTATATGGAGTTAATCAGTTTTTCACAGAATGCTCACAGACAAGCAGAAATTTCTTATTAAAAATAATTTATATTTTTTTCGGTATTCAAATAACTTTACATATAATATATTAAATTGAAATGAAATTATTCATAGAATATGAGATTAATGTTATAGCCGTTGTTTAAATGCAAAAATTGACGTTTTACGACATATAATGCTATATTTTGATACCATAATATCTTTATAACAAAAAAAAAACAATAGAGTTAGCAAAAAAAAACCAGTGACTTGAACAACAATTCAAGAAATATTAAATCTTACCTATGAGCCTTGACACATGTATTATACTCATCAACTTCAACCTCAAAAATCCTATCTACTATGCTATCGAGCTCCTCGTTAGACATTTTTAAGAATGGAGCAAAGAAAGAACCTTGTCCTTTGCTTGCTGTCGCGTAATTATCAGCCATCTATTTTCAAGAGAGAATTAGTGTAAAAATCAATCTTGAGAATTTACAAAAAATTAAGAATTACATACCAGTTTGGCGAGTTTCCCGTGACTAGAGCCCATCGGTATTTCAATAACTTCATAAGATATATCTTTGAGTTGTCCACTTTTTTCCAAGTATTCTTTGATCCGAGCTCCGGGATATAAATCCATCCCGCGCTGCTCTAGAAATTGTTGATCTATTTATATTTAACGAAAATATATCAAATAATTCAAGTATTAAATACATAACCAAGAAGTGAAAAGATAAACATACAAGGACTCATCATAGATTTCATCAAAGGTCCAGGATTCGTAAACACCAAATCTACTTCCATGATTTCCAATATTCCACCTTGTTTCGTAACTCGTAATAATTCTGGTATTACTTTTTCTGCGTATTGTGCTTTACTAAAACAAAGAGCCATTGATCGGTGATGACAAAAATCGAATGCACCGTCTTTGAACGATAGACTGAGAACATTCATCTCGTAAAATTTAGAGTTGCGCGGTTTTATCTCGTGCGGCTGAACTGGGGATATATCAATCCCGGTGAAATTCGAAAGCGGGTATGTCATTGCCATCTCCATTACCCATGGACCAGGTCCACAGCTTGATAAAATATAGGCAATAGAAATAAATTAAGACAGCAGTTAAACTTTCGCGCAAATAATACGAAAATTCTATCTTACCCAACATCCAAGACTTCGCGATCACCCGCCATTAATTTCCGGTGAATCGGTGCTTTGAAGTTTCCCTCCCAAATAGCTTTGTATAAAAAGTGCTGCATTGAAATACGATCCAACTCTTCATAATCGTTGGGAAGAATGTATACTGAATCCGCCACATTATGAAATTGTCGTCCATTAATATATCGATATTTTTGTGATGATGTTATTGTGCTGGTAGAGGAGGGTTGTCTTGGGTATAAGCACGTTGAAGATGTTGTTGTTGGCGTTATACACTGTGATGATGAAAGTGCATTAATGACATTCTGTGTATTCGCTGATGTCAGAGGCTTATTATTCTTTTTGGTGTATCGTCTTGAGATTGAGTTCCTCTGACCCATCGTGTAATTAAAAAAGAAAGATAATAATAAAATTATTATTAATGAATTAACACTAATCAGAACAAGAAAAAAGTTGATTTAACAGAAATACGTACTCGTATATGAATAAAAAAACTTTTGTGTTGTTGGACAAATCGACCCTTAAATTAATTAACGTTAATAATACGTATTTACATTTGTACGTATCGACATGCATGTACGCATGCATAATTTTCTTTGTCCGATAACGGTTTGTCCCAGAACGTTACCACGTTGTTAAAGATAAAAAATCGCTAATTTTTAATCTGATCCTGTTTATCGTTATCGTTATCGTAATTGTTTTGAGAACAGATTACTAAATGAACGATCAAGAGACACGAGTATCGTAAATGGCCATATAAGAGATCACCTCCGATAGTAGACCCCTGTATTTTACCCGGTGTAAAATCTCGGCTATTGGCACAGAAAAATTAACAAAACCAGGGCTATTATATAAAATTGAATAATTTATTCAGATACACTCAAAACTCATTATATTGGGCTATTAGTGAAAATTTTCAAAAATTCGCTATATCGAGATTTTATTAATAAATTCACTATGTCGAGATGATTTAATAATATATACTGGTTTTGAGCTAACTTCACTGTATCGAGAGTTTGATTAACCTTCACTATAACGAGAGTGACTTGTATTCGTATTTCTGTGAGGCCATTTACGGTAGCCATCATTGTTATTATCGTTGTTAGCTTATGAAAGAATGATTTTTCCTCTAAATTTACTTGTTGCAATTCTTTCATCCAACAATTTAATCACAAGCAAAACATAACTATTCTAAACCAAAAATTTTAATGCTATCACTTAGTAACGAAAGTCCTACTCGTATTCTTTATTCGCAAATCTGAAGTCGGGATTTTTGAAGCTATTGTTAAATTGCGTTTGAAACTTCAGCAATTTGCAAATATTGATCACTTACAAATTGTTGTGTGTCAAGTATATCAAAAATCATAAATTCAGTTGAAAAGGTCCTGTGGTGTTGGCATTATCAATTCTATTATTGTCTAATAATAAACGGATAAAAAAACAGTTTTAAAATAAGTTTTAATTGAGGCGTAAACAGGATTCGTAGCTTTTGCTATACAAAATTGAAAATTATCTTTTTTAACATGTTAGCGTATCAATTGCTACAACTTGGCGAAGTTAAATCATTCAGTTCAGGAAAGCCAAGTACAGTATAACGGTAAGAAATAATTTATTTAAGCATACTGAAAAAGATGCTATTTTTATATTGTTTTCGATATTAATAAATACACCGCCTGCCAAAAGTATATATGTGGCAGGGATAGTGATATCTGACGAATTGATTTAATTAGTAAACGAAATTAAATTTGACGAAATGACGAGACTCTTGACGAAATTGTTTTGCCCTATAATCATTAGTGACGAAAGTGATTTTTTGCCGGAATATTATTCCAAAGAATATGTTCTTTATAAAAAATATCAAGTTATTATAAAATTTTTTGCAAAATTGCAAATTGAAGAAACCATTAACCAATTCAAAAATAGTTTAGTCAGATACAGTCAACTCTCATTACAGTAACGTGATCGGGGGCAAAGATTTGGTGATGTTATAACAAAATGTTAGTTTATCGAAAGAAGAATGTATAATAAAACTTATTAAAATAATGAGATCGGGGAAAGAGATTTGATGTTGTTCTAACAAAATGTTATTATAAAGGATGTTACTGTAACGAGCTCCCACTGTATCTTCAGGCAGGAATCGATGGTCTTTTTAATAACGATAAAATCAATCAAAAATAATTTTGATCAAAAAGCTACATAGCGATATTTAAAATTTTGCTTTATTCAGCTAAGCTTTAATTTCTAAAAAAAAATAATTTATTGTTTAGATACCCTTTTGTATTGACCAATTTTTTTCAAATCAATAGCTAATACGTAATCAGGCAAAATTTTATCATTGGATTTCGCAAAAACTTTATACCTTAGTTGTTAAAAATGTCATGCTAAAAAAAGTACATGTACATGTACATACTGATACTGTATACGTACGTAACGATTAGAATAAATGTTCATGTTGCACACTTCGTAATAGTGAGGAGATAAAAAATGATACGTGCGTACATGATGTGTGCATTGCTTTTAGCCTCAATGAGATAATGTTGTTTATCCTGTCGAATGGAATTATGTAATGATTTTTTCGGTTACACGATTAACTCAAAAATTTTGGGTCATACCAGTACATTTCGATTTGATTTGATAATGCTGCATAACACTACACCAAAGGCAAGATTATTATCGTTATATAAATTGTCTCCTTTATTGTAAGAAAAGTAAAGAGAGGATACTTTCTTTAAAGGGAATAAACACAAATTAGAAGAATTTCTATTTTTAGATTTCACCTGCAAAAGTGTATGTTAGTACATGTACATAATACATATGGGTGATGATTTTAGCAAACAAAGGTATAACAAGAATTTACCGAAAATTCAGCTTACAAATATGCGAAGTTTTAAAAAACAATATTTTACAACAGAAATTATGCTACACTTTACATTGCACCTTGAAATTGATACTGTAAATAAGAGAGGATATGATGAGTTAGGTTTCGAAGAGATAGAATACTTGAGCTCATTGAATATAAAACTAGTTTATTATTAGGAAACATGATAGAGAATCCCATCACTCCACTTCATTTATTAGTTAAACGAAATATAGTAAAGCTTCTCTAATATTTGTTGAAACTTTTATCTTTTGTTATAACATGACCCTCTTATAGTGTATCAAAAAAATTTTCAGCAAATATACTATATTGAACAGAATTGATTATAGCAAATTTAAATATATATCGAGATTTTAATTAGTCTTCGCTATAAATGAGGCCATACCAAGATTTTAATTAGTCTCCACTATAAAGGAGGTCTAATAGATATTTCAATTTTGTTGTATGTAAATTTACATAACGATATGGATTATGAAACACAAACAGATGAAGAAAAAAATCTTATTCAAAGTACTTGACTTAGTTGGTGTTATCGATAAAGGCGTTCTATCAATATTATTTACAACTACTTTAACTTTACACTTTACACTAAATTAAGTTGACAACAATAACTTGCACCTTATTGAATTAAATTGACAATAATAACCTATATCTTTAAGAACGACCAAAACTATTATTTAACTTTGTATTTACAAAATTTATTTAATTCTAGAATTAATTCTTTTTTATGTGTATTTCGATAAACAATTGGTAATATTGATATCGATATGGTTTGCAAATTGCCATTGTAGCAGCAAACTATGATTGCTATAGCTATCGCTATTGGACTGTTACCGTTACCGAGTGACATTAAATTCTTTGATTCCACATGAATATCTTTCCATAACTTCCTACACGATAATCCTTCCATAATTAGTCTCGTGTAATTCATATTGAAAGCCAAATTTAGAAATATTTCGTTATGAATGAACATTCTATCGTTCTTCAATATCGATATTAATAGGACGACAATTATCCGAACAATTGAAAGACATCAAACGATTATTGCTTAATTACTTTTAGAAAGTTTTCAAAGAAACAATTAACATAGAACACTAACCTTAGAATTAGCGTAGTAATTCAAAACTGTATAAAGAAGCGTTCTTGAGCTTCTGAGAAGACATGCTTTGATCTAATAAAATAACAAAGTTCTTTCTTTTAATAATAATATTACTTGTGAATACACTATTATTTTATTTTGTTTTGTGATCAAACTTCAAACCTTGTGAGTGATTGCAAGTAGTTGATGCTCCTCCATTCTAAATAAGCCGTCGATTTCTTTTGGATTGTTATTTTGGACAGGCCGTATCAATAAGTCCTGTAGGATTGATTTTGTTTTCTTAGACAGACCGTATCAATAAGCCCTGTTAAATTGCCTTGGGTTTTCTTTAAACAGGCTGTATCAATAAGTCCTGTTATGTTTGCGATTACATTGAGCATTGTTGAATAAACAAGATTTTATTATCATATTGATTCGATTTTCGTCACAAAAGTGATTCTATTCCCCCAAACGCCCTCATCGTAAAAAAAAAGTCGATTTGTGTACAAGGCGCCACAGGAAACCTTTAGAACGCCCAAAGAAACCCTCTGATCGTAAATAATTTAGTCTAGCTCTCATCCCGTTGCGAAAACCCCTCTTTAGTGAATCGTTATAGTAAGACGCAACAGTACATCGTATCTAAACCGATTTGTAAAAACGTGAGCATAAATGTGATACCTAGAAACCTTTTCGGTCATTGCACAATAAACTGTCAAAATTGATAAAATTTCATGAGTTTATGATTTCTTGTAAACAATCGATTTCTTTATTTCTATCGCTATGTTTTCAAATGGTATACTAAGACCGAATCTGTTTTATATCAAGAAAAGAAATTTACCTTCATTAGGATCATTTGGAACATAAAACTAAATACGTATCAAGTTTTCTCCCATTTTAACGTTTTATAACATCATAATATTGTTATGTGAGCAAACACGAAAAATGCGAAAAATACGGGGAATAAATGCCAAAATCTAGTTTAGAGTAGTAATAAAAAATGTCAGGAAGACAATTTTACATATAACTTTGTTCTCTGCTCCATCCCTAACCTTTTGAAGAGATATTCTTCTTAAACAAGCGTTTGGCTTCAGTAGTTGTTTGTGCAGTGATTAGTCCAGTCATTAGATCATTGAGAATTCATCCAATTTCAATTTCAAAGTAGAGTTATTCCAACTTTAAAATCAACCTTAGTGAAAATAACATAATTATGTTATTTTCACTTAGTTTAGATTATGGTCACTCAGGTATGTGTCATATATCATAATTCTTGACATACTCGAAGATGTCACATTTCATAAATCTTGACACACTCGAAGGTATCACATTTCATAAATCTTGACACATTGATGTGTATGCATCAATATGATACGCATTTTGCTTTTTATGACATGCTCGAGTGATGAGCATTTTGCTTTTTATAACAC